AGTGTTTTCACACACCGCGACATATCTCCCCCTCTCTCTCTCTCTCTCTCGCTCTCTCTCTCTCTCTCTCTCTCTCTCTCTGAGTTTCTGTGTGCGTCTGCCTCTTATGTGGTGACGTGTCTACTGACTTCCTGTAGTACAGAAAAAAATAGTCTAAGTCAGTATTGCACAACGCTTGTAATATTAGTCCCATGGACCGTCATATGCAAATCACTGCTGCTGTTCTCTATATGCATTGCATTCACAAAATTGTCAGTTTCATGTTCAGCCTATGAACAGTTTATCATGTTATATATATATATATATATATATATATATATATATATAATATTAGTTGACACTTATTTATTTCAAATAATGAAAAGGCTTTTTAATGGTTTTACTTTTAGTTTCAGTTTTAGTTTTAATTAATTATAAGCAGGATCAGTTTGTTTTGTGTATTGGATTTAACCCATCATAAGCCCTGTGTTTTTTTGTTTTTGTTTTTTTTTCTTCAACCTGATCCCATTAGAAAATATGACTTTGTGTGAATTCGTACCATGTAATTTGTGAAAAAATTATTTATTTTGTTTTGTTTAAATGTTATGTATGAAGCTCCACACTAAACCTAACTCTCAGTGAGGCTTAAGCAAATTTTATGAAAACCTACTAATGGGATTACATTAATGCAAATTAGCCACAGATTCACTAAAATGTAAAATAGTTAGGACTTGCTGTAGTTGCTTTATATTTATAAAACTATTAACGTGATAGCAGCATCACATTATTGGTTTGAAGAACTAAAAGCAGAAATAATTCAAGCTGTTTGGGCATTTAGTTGTTGTCTGTGTGTAGTTATCAGGGAGGTGGACCGCTTGTTAGCGCCTTTTGACTACACCGCTCAACCGTACTTTCCTGCAGAAACATCGCACAACATGTTCAGAAACATGGATATGTTCATCAAATTAAAAGAAAACCTTTGCAGTCATTCATGATTACTGAGCAAGGGGAAAAAAATATATATATTTTTTTAATTATTCAGAGAAGAACAATTTCTAAAATATAACATTTTACAGCTGATAAATGCTAAAAAATTTCTCTATCCACTAAAAGATTTTATATTTTTAACATGAATAAAAAAAAAAGGATGCATTCATTTATTCAAATGTCTTAAAATTTTACTAAATATTTAACTTAAAATATGTACATTAATCGATTCTTATTCATTAATTGATCAATTAGTTTAATTGGCTCAGTGGCATTTACTTTTATTCATTTAGCAGATGCTTTTATCCAAAGTGAGTTACAAATGAGGACAATGGAAGCAATCAAAATCAACAAAAGAGCAATGATATGCAAGTGCTATAACAAGTCTCAGTTAGCTTAACGCAGCACACGTAGCAAGGTTTTTTAAAATTGTATAATAAAAAGAAAATGGATTGAATAGAGCAAGCTAGTGTTAGAGGCCTTTTTTGCTTTTGTTAATTGTATAATAAATAAAAGAACTAATATATAGAATACAAAAAGATTGGAGAAGCTAGTGTTTTTTTTGTTTTTTTTAAACAAGCATTAAATGAATGCAATTTTTTTTAAAGAATAGAATTAGAATAGAGAATGCTAGAGTTAGAGGGTCAAATAAAGATGGAAGAGATGTGATTTTAGCCGATTCTTGAAGATGGTTAAGGACTCATTCCACCAGGAGGGAACAGTTAGTGTAAAAGTCTGTGAAAGTGATTTTGTGCCTCTTTGAGATGAACAATAAAGTGACGTTGACTTGCAGAACACAAGCTTCTAGAGGCACATACTAATAATGTTACTAACAGTGGTGTATAAAGTACCTGAAAGCCATACTCAAGTAAAAGTACAGATATCTTACCAGAAAATGACTTTGGTAGAAGTTGAAGTCACCGTTTAGAATAGTACTTGAGTAAAAGTCTGAAAGTATGTGATATTTATTATACTTGAGTACGAAAAGTATTTTTTTTTTAAATCTTAAACGTACTTAAGTATTGAAAGTAAATGGAAAAGAAGCAAATAAATATATCCTATATAAAAATGTTAATGTTTTAAAATTGTATAATAAAAAGAAAATGGATTGAATAGAGCAAGCTAGTGTTAGAGGCCTTTTTTGCTTTTGTTAATTGTATAATAAATAAAAGAACTAATATATAGAATACAAAAAGATTGGAGAAGCTAGTGTTTTTTTTGTTTTTTTTAAACAAGCATTAAATGAATGCAATTTTTTTTAAAGAATAGAATTAGAATAGAGAATGCTAGAGTTAGAGGGTCAAATAAAGATGGAAGAGATGTGATTTTAGCCGATTCTTGAAGATGGTTAAGGACTCATTCCACCAGGAGGGAACAGTTAGTGTAAAAGTCTGTGAAAGTGATTTTGTGCCTCTTTGAGATGAACAATAAAGTGACGTTGACTTGCAGAACACAAGCTTCTAGAGGCACATACTAATAATGTTACTAACAGTGGTGTATAAAGTACCTGAAAGCCATACTCAAGTAAAAGTACAGATATCTTACCAGAAAATGACTTTGGTAGAAGTTGAAGTCACCGTTTAGAATAGTACTTGAGTAAAAGTCTGAAAGTATGTGATATTTATTATACTTGAGTACGAAAAGTATTTTTTTTTTAAATCTTAAACGTACTTAAGTATTGAAAGTAAATGGAAAAGAAGCAAATAAATATATCCTATATAAAAATGTTAATGTACTGCTTGAGTAGCAAGATTGTGTTCAGTTTTAACTCTTTCTTCCATTTTGTATTTTTGGGTAAGAATAAGAAGCACTTCATCCGTTCCTTTGTGTCTTTCATTCCAACATAAGAAAACATTTCTGGAATCTGCATCTGAAGTAGCATTTAGCTGTATTTACACAGTTTATGTATCTCAGAGGGGACACGGATGCATTTAACCTGCAGTTACAGATTGATAAATAATGTTTTGTTTTTAACATAAAACCTTGAATACTGATATTTGAAATTATATAAAACATGAAAAAAATAGTAGAAATGTGGCATTAAAACCGCCAGTAGGTGGCAGCAAGTGCCTGTTAATGAGTGAGTCATTGAGATTCAACCGATTCATTCAAACGACTGATTCATTCAGTAACAAAGTGTTTGACTGTTAATGAGTGAATCCCTGAATCATTTATTCAACCGATTCGTTCAAAAAGCTGATTCATTCAATAAGTAAACACCGTCCATTGCTCAGAGACGCAAAACAGTGCTGTGATCTTTGTTAGGAACTATTTTCTTTGGCAAAATTGAACAAAAACAAGCATTATTATGTCTAAAATGTAAGTCACTTATTGCTTTACTGAACTTATATAAAATGATTATTAAATGTTCATGCTGATATATGCAGAAAAACGGTACTCTTTGCGTGATATAGATTAAGTTAACTATATTAAATTGTATAAATATAGAAAGCATACAGAAGCATTTTTGCCGTCTACAATTTTGAATGCCTGGAATTTTTAGTTTTAATAGACTAATAAATCAACGTGCGTGCACTCTGTGTGTGATTTGGTGATACAGCCTACTTGATAATGTCAGATCGCACATCATTACAACAACACTTACCATATTATCGCAGACGATGCGGTATATCGCACGCCCCAGACTCGATTTGAGTGGAAAATGAATCATCCGCTGTTGTGTGCGCACTTGTTTGCACATGAGCAAAGGGGTTTTTAGGAGTCTAACTTGCAGACGCCTGTAGCGTCTGGACCACTCCAACACACAATATATATTTTGTT